TTTATTTAACCCTTTGACTGTTTTCGACGTATAAATACGTCTTACGAGCCAATGTTTCTGACGTATATATACTCAATAATTCTAGCGGCTTCAAATCAAGCAGGAGAAAGCTGGTAGGCCCACATGTGAGAGAATGGGTCTGTGTGGTCAGTGTGCACCACATAAAAAAAATCCTGCAGCACACATTGCGTAATGATAAAGAAAAACTCTGATCGTTTTTTTGGAATAAATCGCCGACTTTGAGGAGTATTTTCGTATAGTATTTATCTTTGTATTCGCGTTTTCATGGTCTTAGGTGATAAAATGGAAAACATATTACAGAAATAGAGATGATTTTCATTACTTTGACAATGAAAATGACCTTGAAACCGAGCTCAAAGTAGCGAAAATGTTCGATTTTTACCAATGTTCAGGAGTAAATAAATCACACCACACGTCCAATACACGTTGACTGGGGAGTCTAATATTCTTTCACTAGTGCACTGATATTATTTATACCATTTTTACAGTAATGCAGTAGTCTGCAAAACAGTAAATTTTGTATTTTTTTGTATGAATAAAAAATCAAAATAGAAAGTAATAATAATATAAGAGGGGCCTAGAGATGTGACTAATGAACAGAGCATATGTTATTTTAGTACCACGAATGTCTACCTTGTTTATTTTGGACCCTATTTTGAAAATGGCATCTTTTTTAGTTTGTGTGAAATTGGCCAAATTGCCAATTTCTGACCACCATATTGGGTAGTCCAAATTAGTAAATGGGAGGTTTCTTGTACTCAGCTGATAGATAAAATGGAGTTCTAAAGAAATAGCTATGAGTTTGGTCAACTGGAACAATGGAATTGGCTGAAAATAGGGCTCAAAGTTGGCAAAATCGCAGATACGCATATGTCGCCGAGACCGCTAACTTCGCGGGAGCATAATTCCATGAGTTTTCGACCAAATTTCAAACTTTTGGTGTCATTACCATCGGGAAAAGATTCTCTATCATTTCATAAGAAAAATTAATTTTTTTTTTTTTTTTCAAAAAATTGAGCAACATAGAATGACAGTTTCAGAGAGGGGCCTGAAACAGTCAAAGGGTTAAGGAACCTCCCTTGAGGGAAAGGTTTGTATCCTGAAATTTCGTTCGTATCCCGAAGCAAAAAATCGACCGAACGACGGTTCATATCCTGAAAAATTCGCATGGTGGGGCGTTCGTAAGCCGAGGTTCCACTGTACAGTGGACCCTCGGTTAACGATATTAATCTGTTCCAGAGAGCTTGTCCTTAACCAATTTTATCGTTATCTGAATTAATTTTCCCCATAAGAAATAATGGAAATCCAATTAATCCGTTCCTTCCAGACACCCAAAAGTATTAAACAAAATAATTTTTTCTACATGAAATATACATTTCCTTACACAGAAAACAATGATACATGATGAATAAAACAATAATAACATCACGCTTACCTTTATTGAAGACATGGTGATGTATGGAAGATGGGAGGAGGGGAGAGGATGGAGAAGTTTACATTTGTTTGGAAGGGGAACCCCACTCCATAAAGACTTCAGGTACCAAGTCCTTATCCTGGGTTACTTCCCTCCTTTGTTTTTTAATGCCACTAGGACCAGCTTGAGAGCTACTGGACCCCTGTCGCTCAAAAAAGTTTTCCAGAGAGGTCTGTTTTTGGAGTATGTTAGGAATTGTGTTGGGAGACACAAGACAGTCCTTCAATATGACACCAATATCAGCTCTGCAGCTTATTTATCTAGCACAATTCATCTAATATGACATAATAAACAATATTAATAACACAGAAACATGACATATACTCTAGAATGAATAAAATACATCATTAAGTATGTCACGAGTGTTGCAGTATTGTTGTTGTTGGGTGTACAAGGGCCACTGAGAGCATAAGCCATACATAGTTGTGGTAGAGGCGGCAGCAGAGGTGGTAGAGACGGCGGTGTTGTCAGTCGCCCTACATAACTCCAACAACATTGGAGGAGTTAGGTTTGTGCTGTCCTTTTCCTATCGATTAATCACTTAACTTACTTGCTACAGTTAATGCTACACTTTATCGCTGGCTACCGCTATAGCCTTTATAGACTCCTGCTGCTTTAGTACCGTACATATCGCAGAATCACTGAAAAAGGCACATTCTCCCCTCTCTCTCAGCCCTTTACCTGTCTTTGGGCCCATGGTGGCTTATTTAGCAGTTACAAGCACTAAAACAATGGAATAATACCAAATGTATCTCATGTACGTGTGGAATCGTCCACACTGGCTTGTAAACAATGGAACATTGGTCATACTGGAGTGGTCGGGCAGCCCAGGCAATTCAGGCTGCGCGGACACATTGTGAACGAATGTCCTTAACTGAGTTCTTTATCGTTAGCCGAGCCAATATTTTGATTCAAAAACGTATTGGTATCCGATTTTATCTCTATCTGATGGCATCGTTAACTGAGGGTCCACTGTACTCTAGAATGAATAAAATATGTCATTATGTGACAGGTGGAGGCAGCCACAACCGCTCCAGCACTGTTGTGGTAATCACTGCCATCTAGTGACGACCTTTTGAAGCCGTCTATTATTATAATTATTATTACATAGTACATTTTTATTATACATGTACAGTGGTACCCTGAGTTTCATACAGCTCCCAACTCGAACAATTATGTAAGTGTATTATTGTAAGTGCTTTTGTAAGTGTGTTTTTGAGGGATTGAAACAGACCAATCTAATTTACATTATTCCTTATGGGAATAAATTCATTCAGTAATGGTACTCAAACAGCTTTCTGGAACGAATTATGGCCACAACTCAGGGTACACTGCATTATTATTATACGTATTATATTATTATATACAGTGGTCCCTCAATTATCGTCCTTAATCCGTTCCTGGAAGTGAGACTATTATCGGAATGGACGATTTTCGAATCAATTTTCCCCATAAGAAATAATGTAAATCCAATTAATTCGTTCCAGACACCCAGAAGTATTAACAACAATTTTTTTTTTTACCTAAAAGATAGATTTACATGCACAAAAGAATGAACATTCAACATGACAGTTACCTTTATTGAAGGCTGTTGTTGATGAATGGAAGACAGGGAGGAGGAGAGAGGGAAGAGAGGTTATTTGGAAGGGGAATCTCTCTCCATAAGGACTCTAGGGCACTAATAAAATGTATAAATGAACATTGGAAATAGGGGTAGTTGATGAGTGGAACGGTCTGCCTAGTAGGGTGATCGAAGCTAAAACAGTGAGTAGTTTCAAATTTAGGTTGGATAAATACACGAGTGAGAGGGGTTGAATTTGAGTCGGACTTGCACCTGAGGTTATTGCTTGGGTAGCATTTGTTCTGTTAGTGGGTTGGATTTGTGAAGGACCTGCCTAGTATGGGCCAGCAGGCCTGTTGCAGTGTTCCTACTTTCTTAAGTTCTTATGTTCTTATTTAACATCACACTTACCAGTAGGGTGATTGAGGCTAGGACCTTGGGTAGCTTTAAGAAGAAATTGGGCAAATATATGAGTGGGAGGAGCTGAGTTTGATTTGTGTCATTGGGTACGGGAGTAAATTCTTGGGTAGCTTTGGGTAGAGGTCATTTTGATAAGGACCTGCCTTGTATGGGCCAGTAGACCTGCAGTGTTCTTCCAGTGTTATGTTCTTAGTGGGAAGGATTGTAAAGGACCTGCCTAGTATGGGAAAACAGGCCTATTGCAGTGTTCCTCCTTTCTTATGTTCTTATTGAAGACTTGTTTGTGTGAGGGAGGGATGGCAAGTTTACTGTTGGAGAATATGACACTAATATCAACTCTACAGCTTATTTATCTATCACAATTCAACTAATATGACATAATAAACAATATTAATAACATAGAAACATGGAATATACTCTAGAATGAATAAAATAAGTCATTACGTATGTCACGAGAGGTGTTGTGTTGTGTTGTTGTTGGGTATATAAGGGCCACTGAGAGTAAGCCGTCCATAATGGTGGTGAAGCAGCAGCAGAGGCGGTGGTGTTTTCTGTAGCCCTATATAACTCCAACAACATTGGAGGAGTTGGTAGAATCGCTGAATCACTAAAGAACGAACCCTCTACCACCATCACTACTACCTTCTACCACCATCACTACCACCATCAACCACTATCACAACTGCTTCCACTCTACTACCACCACCTTTGTATTTTTCTACAAACTTTTTCATAAATTATATGTTTCTCACATTCTTTACCAAAGGGCTGGCACTAGAAGCTTTCTTTGGAACCATGGTAGCTTATTTAGCATTTGCAAGCACTAAAATCAATGGAATACACGTATTATGAAATATTTCATAGGAGCATGTAAGGGGACCATTGCTCACTGGTAAACAATGGCACACTGTCTGGGAAGGCAGGCCCAGGCGGCTCAGAGCGTGAGTACGCGTCCCGGACGAAGAACGATTAGTGAATTAACGGACCATTTGCGAGCCAATGTTTAAACAGAATAACGGGACTATGTATTTCCAAAATGGACGACTTATTATTATTATTATTATGATTATTATTACATAAATAATTTGTAATTTTTATTCACACAAAAAATAGAAGATTTACTGTTATGCAGACTACTGCTTTATTGCAATAATTGCATAAGTAATGTCAACCCATTCACGACTGCATATTGGAATGGACAGTGACATCATTTGTTTACTCTTGAACATCGCCAAAGAACTGAACAGTTCTGCTACTTTGAGCTGAATTTTAAGGTACTTTTCGTCGTAAAAGCAATGAAAATCATATCTGTTTCTGTAATTATCTTCCATTCTAGCAAATGAGACCAAAAAAAATGAGAATACAACCATAAAAACCATACAAAAATACCACTAAAGGGTGGCTAATTTCCTACCCAATTTCAACAGATTCATATACACGTACAGTACTATCACTATATTACTCCATGTATACTTAGCTTAGAATTAGGTCATATAATGCACTACTCAAAAACCCCTTTCACATGTCCCACTAAACATCTTATATGACTGAGGCATGACCAACCTTTTGCCCCTGAAAACCATGTGACGGTGGAGTATTTTCGTCCTCATCACGTCGGGACTTTAGGTCAATGACGGGTGGTAATTTGGTGCCAGCCACTCGTCGAGTCTGGTCACGCTTTGGCTATTTGGGCAAGATGAAATATCAGCAAAACAAAATTAAAAGCAATAAAAATAATGGATCTACAAATATGATTTCTATATATTTTGTAAAAGTGTACATCACAACTTTAGCATTTTACTCTAAAGTAAACGAAAAACCCTATCATAAAACTTTGAGTGATTCTGAATATAAAATCTGTGTAATTTCATACATACTGTTGTGATGGTAGCCTTTTTAAATGCAAGCTGATTATGCATAAGTTTGATGCCTGATGCCCATCCTGAAGCACCTGAAGCTTTGTCTGTGTCAATGTCATCATACAGCGACATGTCTCGACTGCAAAAGCAAGGCACAGCAGATGTATTTTCATATATTTCAATACATATTGAATAACTGATTGGGCACTAATCACTAAAACTTTATCTATCCTAATAATTTGTCTAAAAATATTCATTACTATTACATATGTCTCTACTTAGGTTGACCCCACATATTGTTCCTACAGAGCCAAGTCTTGTGGTGTGATTATTGGCTTTTTTGCTGTTGAGAGGTGAGAGCTGGGCCACATTCTGCTAAGTATTTTTCTTTCCTGAAACATACAAAAAAAGGCAATGCTTCAGCATAGAGTAAAGTGTTACCAATATTATTATGTGGGTTGCTACTGTCTCTTGCATCTCTCCTTTCCTTTTCTAAGCAGAATATATTTATTAATAAAGCTTGTCCTCACAGTATAACACTGTTACACTGTACTACAGTAAAAAGGGGAGACACTGCTTATAACCCTTTCACTGTCTCTCACACAGATCTATGTTATTGATGCCAGCATCACTTAAGTAGATTTATGCATAAATTCTAGCAGCCTCAAATTTGGTGGGAAAGACCTGCTAGGCCTAGCCATGACAGAACAGGTTTGAGCAGTCAATGTGTGCAGTATCCAAAAAATCAGGGCTGTCACAGTCCAGAGGCAAGGCTTTCACCCCCAGGTAAATTCAACATGTATTATTCCCCAGTGACAGCTCAAACAATAAGGGCATTAGATCCATGAATGAATGTGGGTTCAAATGCTTAATGACCGAAAGTGACACTTGGGATGTCGAGAATAGTGCCAAAAACCCCAATAATCCACAACCATCCACTTCTGGACTCAGTGCCTCCAAAACATACCCACGCCATAAGCAAAAGCTAATATTCTCCAGTGGTTTGGGCACAGATGTGAGTAGTAATGATAACAATAATGTGGACTTTGATTTCCTAGCACTCAGTGATCAGTCTAGTGATACTGATGACAATTATTCATCCATGAAGTGTCAATATATGTGGCAAATATGACATCCAGTTGTGTCCCTATGGCTATTCCCAAGGGACTCGGCACATCACAGTTCCAACACCGGCGATAGATAGTGATAGTGAAGAAGGATGCTTCCATTGGCATGGGTAGTGGGCCATGGGCCATGCCAGCAACACATGCAGCAGTGGTTGATGGGACAAAGGCAGGTGGCACCAGTACCAGCCCTGACAGGGAGTTATGCCCCATACTCCACACCTCAATGACCCTAAGCTGTGTCCACAATCCACACAACCACCACTATTACCACCACCACAAATATCCAGCAACCACCAGACCACATCTGCAATTGGCAGGAAGTACATTTGCTGCCCAATCCTCATCAATTTGATTACAAAGAGGAATGCAGCCTCAGGAACAATGCCACTGAACTTGAATTCTTTGAACTCTATTTCACTGAACCCCTCATGCAAATGATAATCAGGAAAACCAAACAGATATTACAATCATACAATGGGAAACATATTGGTTTCACCACTATCACAGCTGCACAAGTGAAAAGACAACTGAGGCTGAGATGTATCTCTTCTTTGCCACAATCATGCTTATACCATATGTGTATCAGCACAATATTGCATCATACTGGTCAACTGACCAGTATGATGAGATGTGATAGTAATAACATCTTATACAAAATTAGGAGTATTTTTATGTATCTCAAACAGATGTTCAGTGAATATTTTTATCCTTTCCAGAACCCTGTCATCGACGAGGCTTTGATCCTGTCATTCGAGCAGTATAGACCAAGCAAATGGAATGCTTTGGTATCAACCTGTTCATGTTGTGTGATTATGGAAGTCATCTGGTACTGGATCTCACTATCAACACAGGAAGCAAAACACTGAAAGATACTAAGAAGTCATTGAGAATCTCTGGTGATGTAGTGAGAAAAATGATTCAACCATCTCTCAGTAAGGGCCATACATTATACACTGATAACTGGTACACAAGCCCCTTACTCAGTAATTTCCTGTGGGTGAACATGAAAGATGTGTGGTACAGTGTGTGGAACATGAAAACATATACTCAAGATCAATGCAGACACTGGTACTGATGAGGTGCAGATGTTTCATGTCAAAGACATCATGCCATATGGCATTTTTGATAAGGATCCACCAGCACGAAATGAAACACAGGAAAAGTAAGTAAAGACACCGGTGAACTTATTGAGACCACCTGCTGTCAAGGATTACACCACCAATGTGTGTTTGGCGGACAAATGTGACATGCAAACTGAGTTTGTTGATTGTCCAAAAGAGTTATAAGTGATACATGAAACTTTTCTTTCATTCTCTTGACACTGCAGTGAGTGCATACAATATATACCAGATCAGGACTGGCAACAAACTGCCATATGCTCACTTCAGTTTGTCATCAGACAAATAATACAGAAATACCAGGTCACAACACCTGCACAACATGTGCCATCGTATTGATCACCAAGTGCCTTCTTGTTTGAAGTATGGTGATCACTTTCTAATAACACTTTCTGCTAATGACAAGATAAAATGGGCTCAGATGTTATGTATATGCACACACAATAGGATACCCAGTAAAGTGCAGGGACATGCATTTTGTGTAGGGAGTATACAACTCCACTGAGTATGAAGCCATATTTCAGGGGCTTCCACAGATTGCAACAGTTCTAGGAACATAACCAGTGCCTGTATATATGTGTACATGTACATATGTATATTTATGGTGTTGTGCATCACTGTTTTGTAAACAATATACTGATGACACTGTTAGTGCAGGTACTGTGTTGTAAATAATGGCTAGCCATGCATACACTGTGCACAATTTGGGTGTCATAAGACACAATAATTATTGAAAAATTAAAAAATTGGAAACCTTCCCCCCCAAAATGTAAAACATAAAAAATAAGGAACAGGTGATAATTTCCAATGTTTCCATCATTGAGTCAACAACCTTCAACTTAATGCCTTCATATCTCAGTAAGTACTGATGGGAAAAATCCTAAGTAGGTCTCATTACAACCACAAAAATAAGCTCTTTTTTTTTTTTAGTACATTTTTCTAAAATCATGACATTGTTTGGACTTTTATATTTGGGGGTAGAGACAGTGAAAGGGTTAATATGTACAAATAAGACCTGTGTCTTCTAGCACCCAGAAGATAACTTGCAGTTAGCAATAGCACATAGTACTGAGACATACTAGAAGGAATAAACCGGTCTGGAAACAAGTATAATAATGCATTCCATAAATAAGAGAAAGTGATAATATGAACATACTGAATTCAGAAAAGATTAATCAACAGAACTCAATATTCTATTGCTATCAAAATATACAAGTCTCTGAAGGTCTACATTAATTTATTTTATCAAACTCTTCAACTCCATAAATGCAGCATGCATAATTTTCTTTAAATAAAAGATACTACACAAATACAATAGAGTAAATCAAGCATTAATGTAAACAACATTCATCTACAGATCTTACCTGCTCTTCACCAGTCAAAGGTTATATTCAATAGCATAAAGCATTACACAGAACATACCCTACACATTATCACTGCTGTAAATGTAACCTAGTATAACTCAATGAACAAAAACACTCATGTTTGCTTACTTAACACAATCATATTTAAAATAATCTAGTTTACAATAAAAAAGTTTGTCAAACAATTATACATATTAAACTTGACATACAGGTTACTCTATGGAAAATTATGTGATTAGTTTTAATTTTGTTTTACAGCTATGCTTTCCATGGTTTATAGGTTGACACAACACTGCTGTATATCCCAATTTGGTCATAGCATACTTTACCTGAAGGTTACCCAAAACGATTTTGGGGTCACCGACCCATCAGCCTAGTACCAGACCAGGGTGGTTGGTGCAAGCTACAGGCAGTCTGATCAGCATGGATGATTGGGAACTGCTCAAAGAACTTACCAAATTCCCTCTTGAAGACAGCTAAGGATCTGTTCATAAATCCCCATATGTATGAAGGGAGGGTCTTAAAATCTTTGTCCCTAGCCCATTTACATTTACTGACTGATCGCTGAATGCACATTAATCACACCAAAGCTTTTCACTAGAGGTGCAATATTTTGTAGTCTGCCAATCCTCTTCCTCTTTGCTCTAAATTATTATATGAAACATAGTTTACCCTTGAGAAATGTGTAGGTTATGTTCCTGAAAATTGGCACTATATTCAAATTAGTGTTAACCAAAGTGAAGAATATATGGGTAAAATAGGATTATATACCTCTGAAATAATACAAAAAATCAAACATATTTCTTGAGAAAAGTCTAAAAAGTTTAAGCAAAACACTTTTCCTTACCTTAAATTCTTTCTGATGATGATTAATGATATGCATATGTACGTATGTACGTACATATACTCACCTAACTGTACTCACCTAATTGTGGTTGTAGGGGTCGAGACTCAGCTCCTGGCCCCGCCTCTTCACTGACCGCTGCTAGGTCCTCCCTCTCCCTGCTCCATGAGCATTATCATACCTCATCTTAAAACCATGTATAGTTCCTGCCTCCACTATATCACTTGCCAGACTATTCCACTTCCTAACTACAATATGACTGAAGAAATACTTCCTAACATCCCTGTGACTCATCCGAGTCTTCAAATTCCAATTGTGACCCCTTGTTTCTGCGTCCCATCTCTGGAGCATCGTGTCTCTGTCCACGTTGTCTATTCCATGCAGTATTTTGTATGTCATTATCATGTCTCCCCTGACCCTCCTGTCCTCCAGTGTCGTCAGACCGATTTCCCTTAACCTTTCCTCATAGGACATTCCCCTTAGCTCTGGAACTAGCCTTGTTGCAAATCTTTGCACTTTCTCTAATTTCTTGATGTGTTTGACCAGGTGTGGGTTCCAAACTGGTGCTGTGTACTCCAGTATGGGCCTGACGTACACAGTGTATAAAGTCTTGAACGATTCCTTACAGAGGTACCGGAACGCTATTCTCAGGTTTGCCAGGCGCCCATATGCCACAGCAGTTATCTGGTTAATGTGTGCTTCTGGCGATGTACTCGGTATTATACTCACTCCTAGGTCTTTCTCCTTGAGTGAGGTTTGCAGCCTTTGGCCTCCTAGCCTATACTCTGTCTACGGTCTTCTTTGCCCTCCTCCGATCTTCATGACTTTGCATTTGGCGGGGTTAAATTCTAGGAGCCAGTTTCTGGACCACGCATCCAGCCTGTCCAGGTCTCTTTGTAGACCTGTCTGGTCCACGTCTGATTTAATTCTCCTCATTAACTTCACATCATCTGCAAAC